GGATAAACAGTTGGTGGATAGGTGCATACAGCCAAAAATCTTGCTGAACATATCGGCACAAAAAAACCCCCATTGCCTCTCAAGAGGAACAAAAAATGCACAACTTCGAAGGAAAAGTTGCAGTACAATGTGAGATAAAAAGAACATGGTATGGATGTTGGGGGGGGGGACTAAATCAATGAGCAAGGAAAGCATGCCTTTGACTGTTACAAAAGAGACATATGAAAGATGCCTGAGTTGCAACGAAGATGTACCAAGTTGAAAGGTCTACAATCAATAAAAGACTATTTAATTGCAATCTAAAAAAGAAGGGATACCCCTAGTAAAAAACAAACAAACCCTCAGAGAAAAGTGGAGAGGAAAGGAAAGAAAAAGCAGTGTTTCAGTGGGTCTGATGGATTTGCCTTTCTCCCTACATCCTCTTTGCTGTAGCTAACAAGGAGGAGGCACCATGGAAGTGGTCTTTCAGAAGGACTTTCCACATAGCCCTGCATTCCACCATCCTTGTGATCTGGATTCATGCAGTACTTAACTCCACCGTTAACTTTTGTCCCAGTAGTCAGATGGGTTACGTGGCAGCAAGCAAATCCGGGGAAGTAAGAAGAAAATTAAATTTGGAAAGAGTCAACATTTCCCATCATCATTATTAGGATCATCACCAATCTTTTCCTCCTCTTCCTTCAGAAGTGTCAATAAGGAAGGAACATTTTCACCAAATATTTCAGATAACAGTGTTCCCTTTAAAACTGCCTTGATAACTATTGTATGAATATTTCATCATGCATCACCTTAGAAGGAATGGGAAAACTTTCATGGTACCAAGATATTTTTCCAATTTTGAAGTTGTAACATAAAAAATAAGTGAGACAAAATGTAGGCTTTCTGGCTTTAGGGGGCAAATCATACATTGAGATAAATTTATATTTCTTGCTGTTTCATTTTTCTCCAACAACACAATTCTTTAGGCAAAATCAGAGAAACCAGAGTTTGCTTCTCACTGACCAATTAGTTTGCAAAATGTGGAGTGGGATAGAATCTTGACAGATAAATCTGGTTTTTCAATTTATTATTATCATTTCAGAGAGTTCTGCTTCTAATGATATTCTATCTTCTAGCTTGGGCCTAAAACTGTATCTTTGCTTCCCTTACTGTCCCTAACCTAAAAAAAAAGTTCATATTATAAAATAGAACTATTTTATTATACTATAAAATTGCCTAGAGCTATCTCCTCCATGGAACTCTCTTTTTTCCTGAAATCTTTTTATTATGTCAATTTTGTGCTGTAGTTCTACTGCTTGTTCTTGCTTTCTTCTGAAAGTGTTTTGTCTCTATGTTGTTGTTTAGTCGTTAATCTGTGTCCAACTCTTCATGACCCCATGGACCAGAGCACACGCCAGGCCCTCCTGTCTTCCACTGCCTCCCGGAGTTGGGTCAAATTCATGTTGGTTGCTTCAATGACACTGTCCAACCATCTCGTCCTCTGTCGTCCCCTTCTCCTCTTGCGTTCACACTTTCCCAGCCTCAGGGTAGGGTCTTTTGAGTCTTCTCTTCTCATGAGATGGCCAAAGTATTGGAGCCTCAGCTTCAGCATCTGTCCTTCCAGTGAGCATTCAGGGTTGATTTCCTTTAGGTTTGTTCTCTTTGCAGTCCAGGGGACTACCAAGAGTCTCCTCCAGTACCACAATTCAAAAGCATCAATTCTTTGGCAGTCAGCTTTCTTTATGGTCCAGCTCTCACTTCCATACATCACTACTGGAAAAACCATAGCTTTGACTATGAGGACCTTTGTCGGCAAGGTGATGTCTCTGCTTTTTAAGATGCTGTCTAGGTTTGTCATCGCTTTCCTTCCAAGAAGCAGGCGTCTTTTAATTTCATGACTGCTGTCACCATCTGCAGTGATCATGGAGCCCAAGAAAGTTAAATCTCTCACTACCTCATATCTTTCCCTTCTATTTGCCAGGAGATGATGGGAGCAGTGGCCATGATCTTAGTTTTTTTGACGTTGAGCTTCAGACCATTTTTTGCGCTCTCCTATTTCACCCTCATTAAGAGGTTCTTTAATTCCTCCTCACGTTCTGCCATCAGAGTGGTATCATCTGCATATCTGAAGTTGATATTTCTTCCGGCAATCTTAATTCTGGCTTGGAATTCCTCCAGTCCAGCCTTTTGCATGATTTTTCTGCAAATAAGTTAATTAGTCTCTATACTTTTGCCTTTTCGTTGAGTTGTGTACTGTGAACTGGTGATGGTGAGTTATGGAGTGTAGGTTTAGATCCCCAGATACAAGTTGTGTGGGTGGAAAGCTTATGCCCCTAAAATATTCTTCACTGGGAAAACTCTGACCAACACAACATCTTCTGAAGGTCAGCTATATGAGTAATATTTTATAATATACAGGACCTATCTGTTTAAGAGGCAGGCTTATATGTCTTCTCCATTCTGAGTGCATGTAATTTTCTTGTTAAACAAGAAGTGGTTGGGGGAAGCTGGCCATTTTATTCAGGGGTCTAAAGTCCTATGTTCTGTTGACTGTTTCATTTCTTCATTTATACAGTGGTTAGAAAATCCTCTTAGCTGCTGTTCAGTAAAGGCAGACTTTCTTTTCCTGAAAGTGGTGTTGATGTGTTCCAAAGCAGGGAAATTCCCCAAAAGGAAAAAAAAATCAAAACATTTGAATCTTGAGCAACCTTCTTTCTCCCTCTTCTCACAAAATATGGACATGTTGATGTACTGTTCTTGTACCTCAATGTCCAGATAAGTAAATGGTGCAACAAAATCCCACCAGCCTTCTTACACCCTATTCCAATCTGTTTGATTTTGGGGGGTGAAGGAGGAAAGTAATTCTTGCTATTTGTCATCAGCTTTATCTAGATAAGGAGAATTTGTTTTCCTCTTTAGGAACCAGAGAGAAGAGTTCATCCCTTGTGTTTGTATGGGGTAGAAATTAAGGTACCATAAGGATGCAACAGTGTACCCATGTTTTACAGGAGGAGTAGAATTGATATGTGGCCTGAATTTTCTTGCTTTTGGGGGCATAGCTTTAACTTGAACTTTTTAAGTTACTGTATATTTCCTAGTAACTATGCCCACTTTCTTCCTATAGGTTTTTTAAAAAAACATTTAATATCCCACAGCTGAACTGCAGTACATTTGAAACAGCGTTGACACAGGTCAGAGGAGGAGAGACACTTGAGGTGGAAGGATAAAGTACCTGAGACTGATATTTGGGGAAAGGAATTTTCAAAAGAAATTAAGAAAGCATCTACAGTGAATGCTTGCTGTTCCAACACTTCAGAATTTAATGTAAGGATCTGCTTTAGAAAGAAAAGGGACTCACAAATACTGTAGCTGAGGAGAGTTGAATGCTATTCTCCACAGAAATAACTGACAGGGGTTAACAAGGTATAATTAAGATTCAATATAGGCAGAAATCCTGGAAGTAAGGATGCACAGGGAGTTTGTGGGATAGAATAGTTTCTTCAGCATCTTGAACCATTAGAATGGTCTTTCCTGTACTCTTTGAAAACACAGTACAATAGGAATGGCATTATTTTTTAATGTGCAAGAGCCTAATCTTATGAGGCCCCCAGCTATGCCATTTGACCCATGCATCACCTTACCTCAGGTAAAGATGCATGGGCCTCCCTCCACTTTAAACCTAAAGTGACTAAAACAAAGCTAAATACTTGCCATGCATTTTGCAGGTTCTTCTATGAAAAACTGACTTATTCTTTACATTTAAATATTTTCCATCATCACCCCAAATATTGAGAGGGTTTTACAGTGTGAAGAGGCCTGTGCCTCATCTGAGCTCTTGAAGAGTCCCACCAAGAGCAATTTGGCTGACACTACTTATACTAAGATTGTGGTACTCATTGGGCAGTGTAATCTCAGAGCTGCAGATCTGGAAGGAACTCTATGGATCGTCAAGTCCTGGCACTGTCAAGTCCAAGTACTGTGGGGAATTGAACTCCTGCCCTCTGGCTCCACAGCCAGATACCTAAGACATTGAGCTAATATATGACCAGATCTAGACACTCCTGTGGACCATTTCTCCCTCTGGACCCTTTCAGCCAGTATGGTCCTGCTGCCTGGGAGATTCTGAGAATAGTTGTTCCAGGCTTTGTGTACAAGATGAAGATGAGCAGAAGATTGCAGCTTCTAATACTTTTAGCAAAGCAGTTTCAAGGTAGTTGTTGTGGGTTTTTCAGGCTCTTTGGCTATGTTCTGAAGGTTGTTCTTCCTAACATTTCGCCAATCTCTGTGGCTGGCAGGGGACAGCACTCTGAAGATGCCGGCCACAGAGACTGGCGAAACGTTAGGAAGAACAACCTTCAGAACACGGCCAAAGAACCCGAAAAACCCATAAAAACCATTAGATCCGGCCATGAAAGCTTTCATGAATACAGTTTCAAGGTAGTTTGTAGAAGCAAAAGTACATGTGTTCTCCAGTCTTCCATGACTTTCCACATCACACTGCACACAGAGCTTAATTGCATTTTATTTTATTTTATTTTGCTGCCTCACAGTGTGGGGCTTTCATTCTCTCCGAATTTGCTTATTGTGGCAGTAATGGCAATTACCCACAGAGAGAATGGGAGCAAAATATTCTTTAGCACATTGTTGAATGGTTGGTCCTATCCTGGACCTCTACTGAGGACTAGAGCAAATCCTCCAGAAAGAGAGAGCACACATCTGTTTGCCTGTGCATGTGAGTTTTCAGTTTTGCATTTATACTTCTCTAGGTTTAGCCAGGTTAAAATAGACTCTGATCAAGAGATGTTTGCATATTGCACCATCTCTTTGTACAATTTTCAAGATTGCACAAAGATATTGTGTGGCTGGGGCTGTTCAAAGGACAAAGAAATCTCTGTTAGTTTTGATTGCTTTTATGGTTTTTCCGAAATTTCCAGTTTGCAGAAACTCCTCCCCGTGTACTGATTAAACATGGAGCTATTGCAAAAGTTCCTGCCTTGGAGAGCACTCTTTGAATAAATAGTGAAATCCTGCCTGCTTCTGCTGACCCTCCACATCACGATGGAGGGGATGGCTCTCTACCTGGTAGCTGCTCTCCTGGTCTGTTTTCCAGCTCCATCTCACAGCCAGCTGTAAGTAGAAGATACATTTCAGCAGCTTGTCCACCTCTTTAATGATTCTTGAGCCAGGATAGCTTTTTGCTCAGGAAAGTGTTGCTTGCATTTTCTTCTCTGAAGTTATGCATGGCAGACATCCATCAGATTCAGAATTCTTCTCCTTTTAGCAAGGATTTGAGATAGGCTCAAAAATATAGCTCAGTAGTTTATCTACCTGGCAGTGGAACCAATTCCCCATTGTGCTTCCATGATAGTGTTGGACTTGATAATCCATAGGGTCCTTTCCAGCTCTGCAGTTCTAAGATAGTTGTTGCCCAAGATAGTTGGTGCCCAAGACAGAAAAATCAAAATAGCCAAGGATAATATTCCCAGCTAGCAGCTTTTCAGATGTAACAGCAAATCTATACATGAAGTGGGGCACTTCACTGCCTAATGGCAAGGTCAGCCCGGAACTTATGAGGTGGAGCACAATTATTTCTTTGTTTGTTTTGGAAAAGGTTGAAACTGTGCTTTTGAAAGAAGAAGAATCTTGGTATACCAGCTTGTGGCTGCACCTTTATCTAATCTAGTGTGCTGTCTCCCATGACTGGCAGGCTTCCAGGATATTCTGAGGAGATTTTTACTATGTGTACTTGTGCATGTCCTGGGAAAATCCTGCCGATTGTGCTGGCCTCCTGGGGTGTGCATTTACAGGCAAATGTACATGGGGGCGATCTCACAGTAAGGTGGTCTCAGCTATAATTGTTAGATAAGGAACCAATTACCTCTAGAGCTGGTGAGTCCTCCAATACTAGAGGCATTCAAAAGAAATTTGGCACCTGGTAGATATTGTTTGATTTGTATTCCTGCACTGAGCTTGGGGTTGGACTTGATGGCCTTATAGACCCCTCCCAACTTCATCATTCTATGATATCAGCATCGGCTGTCGGCTTTGAAGGGAGGAGGGACAGGTTTCTTAAAGGGTACGTGTAATGTCTGTGCCCGTAGACCTGACCATTTTAAATTCAGTATTTAAAGGTCAGCAAGTAGCTCTGGGTGCTATTTAAACATGGTGCAGACTGATGATGCCTGATGGCTTCAGGATTCTTGCATAGGGGACCACAAGCTCTGTAAAGGTAAAATCAAGATCATGTCTGTGAGGAAAAAACATATATACATAGAAAATTACAATTGAAAGTAGAGACAAATCTCAACTGGAAATTAGGCAGAGTGCTGGTGTTTTAAAAGTGAATTGAAGCTGAATCCAAATGTGAAATATTTTTATTGCCCACTTTTAAATAGCACAGCAGTTGTTGGTGGAAGGGATTATGAGGAGACAAAGACAAGCAAGCAGGCAAGTGTGAACTACCCCAGGCTCCTGCTCTGTCTGGGCAATCTTTCTCCTTTCCAGCACAGCGTCCTGCCATGAACTGCCTGGCCGATAGAGCCTTAAAAGTTACCAGTCTTTAGTAATATGGCTGCAAGGATAGTCCTATTGTAAGAATCAGGTGAACTGCATCACACTGCTATTTGTAAGAATAGAATGGGACGTAATTTTCAGAAATGGCTCAACACAATAATCTGTAAGTGTCGGCGTAGAAGAAAAATTGGTCACTACCAGTTTCAAGGCAAAGGGGACAAGGAATGGCTGCTTTGTAGGCATTTATATTTTAACCGGTATGGCAGATATTATCTGCATTTCTTTCGTCAAAAACTTTGTGGGAGGGAGTTATGTTATTATTTGACAGAAATAGATATTTCTCCATTTGTGATGCATTGTTTCGGAAACAATTTGCCCTGTTCAGTTACGGGTAAGAACTAGTGCCTCACCATTGTAGTAAGGGAACAATATTGCATTTTAAAATTAAAACATGTTTATTTTTGTCCCATGTTAGCATGCATTTTTTCAGTAGGAATCTCTGTTACCCATGTCATGAACGTTATGAGGGATTAGACAGAAGGGAATAGACAGAAAAGGTTTTGTGCAACAGGTTGAGTGAGAGATGATGCAAGGGAGGAGGGAATTATGTCTATTAAAGTGGTAGGTTGAAGGGGAAGATTGCTGCTGAAGTGCTCCTTCTCTTTTAAATGCAGTATGTGGTTAATTTCTGGTATGTTGTTGCACTCCAGGTATAGAAAATCTTTTCCAGTCTGGGAGACCAAATGGAGTAAGGGCAAGCTAGGTGGGCTGCCTATGAATAGGGCAACATCCCAAAATAGTCTGTCCCTATGGGATTACCCATATCCCATGCACATGTAAACAGTCCAATAGATCCATCCATCCTTTCTTATACCCTCACACATCCACTTAGTAGTCACTCAGAAACAATCACGTATATGCATTGCTTACTTATTTGAGCTGTCATATTCCCTTACCCATCGTGAAAATTCGCATTATAACTTTAGAGCTATAATGTGTTGGCTTTTGGTTATAATCAATATTATAACGTATAATTAGTAGAGTATGCATTTAGCAGCTTCAATTGTTTAGATTAAAAAAACACTATTGTACAGTAAAATTTATATTTTCTCACATATGTGTGTTTTGTGTCAGCATTTGGAATGAAAGACATATTTTCTCTGGTAAATAATGAACTCTTTCATAGTTATACTGTTATATTCATAATCCTTTTTTTGGCCCTATTACATATTTTAGCCTCATGTCACATATTGTTTATTGTCCCTATCAGCCCTGTCAGTCCCTTTCTGAGTTAGGTATCATGTGAGACCCTGTCTGCTACATGTTTAGCCCTGTCTGACAGACTTCTGACAGACACCTGCCTTATATAGCAGCCTGGCTGACTACAGACTCATCCGGATTGGTTAAAATTGTGTACTATGCTAGTACAACAAACTGCTGTTTCATAGCAAGCAGACAGACAGACAGACAGACAATCAGACTATTATCATGTTATATACTGGAATTTAATCCCTGTGTATAAACTGCTGAATTTTTGGCACAGCAATTTCCTTTATGTACTGTAGTTCGAATTCATGTCCTAACTGAGATTTATTGGAACTCGTAACTGGCTACTGTTTAGCACTAAGGTGCTTCAGTAACATTATTACTAGTCATTGGCATACTAGGGTTCTCTGTAGATTGTGCTTCAGTGCAGGATTTTGCAGTGGACTAATTCTGTACCTGCCCTTCCCAGTGTCCAGCAAACTTCTTGCCAATTTCCTTTACATAGTTTGAATTCATGTCCTAACTGAGATTTACTGGAACTCGTAACTGGCTACTGTTTAGCACTAAGGTGCTTCAGTAACATTATTACTAGTCATTGGCATACTAGGGTTCTCTGTAGATTGTGCTTCAGTGCAGGATTTTGCAGTGGACTAATTCTGTACCTGCCCTTTCCAGTTTCCAGCAAACTTCTTCCATGCCATTCTATAAATGTTGCTTCCTGGTTCCCAAACTGCATTAGCACTAAAGTTCTTAAGAAACTGCAGAGTGTTACACTTTGCTCAGCTAAAGGCTTTTCATGATCACTCAGGTTCCAGAATGTAGAGAATTTATGTCTATTCTTAGAATTTATTTGTCAGTCTGCAGGAGGCATGGTACCCTATGCTAGGGTTAGTTGCAGATGCATCATTGCCTTGATGAAGGATTGTGTGATAGCCTATGCTGTGGTTGTTTGAAATAGGATTGATGACAGTGGCAGAGTAATGAACTGGAGTCTTAAAATGTTGGAACAAACCACAGCATAGGAACTCTTAAGACAGAAAGCTGTTATTTTGAACCTACATAACTCTGTTCTGATTTCTCTTTCATAGAAAGCATACATATGAGACTCAGGACATGTCTACATTTGCCCTAGAAGTGCAGGCTGGTGCAGTCTAAATAGGGTTGTTTGAGGTTGCAGGGGAGCGAGGAGCAACGCACCATTTAGAGTTATCCTCATGTCCAAATCAACCTCATTGACCCTCTGGCTCATTTCACTGTCAGGTGTTAATGAGAACTTTCCCTTTTCAATTGAACACTGTCAATTGAAAACAGGGAGGGGGAAGAGAGAGATCTAAAGAGATCTAACAATCAACAACAAAAAAAGGATCCATATCACAAAGCTGGAAAGGAGCTCCTCCTCTGCGGTGCAAGGAAGCCAGAAAGAAGATGGTGACTGGGAGTCAGCAAGCAAAGCAGCCCCTTCCCTCCAGTCTGCAGAGGAGCAGGGAAATTTCTTGATATCCAGAAATGGGTCACTTATTAAGTCTCTTCACTTCACAATACGGGAAACTGACAGCAGAAGGAGCCTTGGTAGCTTTGACAGCTGCAAGGCTCAATTTTAGTCCATTTCCAGGGGTCACAGGCACTTGGAACAGTCTACACTAGAGCACACCAAACCACCCCCCAAAAAGTAGAAGCCCCTAAAGGGCTCAGAAGGATGTGGGCAGAGCTGGTCTGGTGATGGACTGGTCTCCTCTAGTGAGTACACTGTGCGGTCACCAGAAAAAAGACCAAACCCATCCAGTCCCGCAATACATCAAACAGCAGGACAAATGCCCATCTGAACAAGCCCTCAGAAAGAAGTCATTTGTTAAAAAAAAATAAGTGTATGGCAGATGTGTCACCTGAGCCCCAAAGCACATGTAGGTGGACTCAAAAACAACTAAACATCAATTTCAGAGAAGTCAAACTGACGAGACTCAGATAACACATACATAAGGAAAACAATACCATAACATACATAACAATACATGTCATTTTAGTAGATGTAGATGTGTTATTCCATGCTAGCATATCAGGCAAAAAGGAAAAGGAAAACATAAAGAAGACAAAAATGCTGTGGCACCTTAAAGACTAACTGCTTGTCAACAAAAACTCTAATTAACATTAGAGTTTTTTAGAATTTAAGGTGCCATAATGTTCTCAACAACCATAGACATTTTCTTTGTCTATCTTTCTCACACACATACACACAAAATAGGCAAACATAGTCTACAGTGGGGTCTCAACTTACGAACTTAATCCGTATTGGAAGGCAGTTCTCAGGTCGAAAAGTTCTTAAGTCGAATCTGCATTTCCCATAGGAATGCATTGAAAACCATTTAATCCGTATCTGCTCTTTTCGTCAATAGAAACTAATGGGAAGCTGCTATTCCGCCTTCTGCCACTAGAGGGGGATAATTTTTTATTTTTTCCTTTTGACCTAAGATGGCTTAGCTTTAAAAAAAAAGGGAAAAAAGAGTTCGTAACTCGAATCTAAGTTCGTAAGTCGAGTCCATATATTCCTATGAGAGCAGTTCGTAAGTCGAAACGTTCGTATGTCGAGCCGTTCGTAAGTCGAGACCCCACTGTATTTCAACTCTCCAGCTTAATCATGGTAATGTGTGTATATCTGAGTGCACATGCACTCACTCACACACTCACACACACACACATACACACACACACCAGGCAAGTGCACATCAGCGCTTTTCTCACCAACGTGCAATGTCTCTCAGCCCTTCATGTATTTAATGCAAAAATCTGCAGCAGAGGTAGTAAATCTCTGAGAGATGGTTGGATGGGGGGGGAATGCAGGGGGGGTGTCAGTGCTGACAGGCATCACCCTCTCTCCCTGCTCAGCCCTCTCTGGATTCAGGCTTCATAAGTCAATAGAGCAAAGAGAGGGGAGGTGGGAGGGTGCACACCAGAGAAATCCATTGGGATTGGTCTGAGATGCTTTTGTCCGATTGATTGAAGGGTCTGTGCAGGTTAAATTCAGGAAGTAAACAAACAGAACCAGCCTTTATGTTCTGAGAGTTGGCAGGGCTTAGTAAAGGTGTTAGAGGGGTGGAGGTCTGTGAGGCAAAGACAAATGAAAAGATGAAGGAAAGAAATGTAGTGTGGCAAATATAATTTGCTGTAGGTTCATAAGAATTTAGAGCAGTAGGCTAAGGTCGAAACATAGTTGTTAGGTTTCTGAGAACAACAGTTTCTCTTGTGACAAATGTCCACCAAGTTTACTTTGGAAGATTTCAAAATTGACTGACAATACTCCTTTCTATTTTTAAAAATGAATTAATTCATAAATATCTGTAGTTAATCGTTTATAATACCTCAGGTGGTTATCCCACACCTCAGTCAAGAGTTTTCAGCTTACCAGGAAATATGAGTGGTAGCATAAAATAATCATATTACAGAATCCATGAACTCGGGGGGCGGGGGGGAATGAAGTACCGTAGTTGTAAAAGTGAAACCAAGGGAAGTGGTTTCCTCATCAAAAGACACACAACCAGGAACTTTGCAACTCCTCTTGCTTTGTGTAATAAACTGCACTACAGTAGGCCTGCTGAATCAATAGGGATTTGGTGAGTCAAGTCTTCCATAAGGTGTATTGAATCAAATAGGTCTACTCCAGTTATGACTTACTTTACCATAGTAAGTTTCAGGGTTTTTTTGTTGTTTACTCGTTAAGTCGTGTCTGACTCTTCGTGTCCGCGTGGAGCAGAATACATGCCAGGCCCTCCTGTCTTCCACTGCCTCCCGGAGTTGGGTCAAATTCATGGTGGTCGCTTCAGTGACACTGCCCAACCATCTTTTCCTCTGTCGTCCCCTTCTCCTCTTGCCTTCACACTTTCCCAACATCAGGGTCTTTTCCAGGGAGTCTTCTCATCTCATGAGATGACCAAAGTATTGGAGCTTCACTTCAGGATCTGTCCTTCCAGTGAGCACTCAAGGTTGATTTCCTTCAAAATGGACAGGTTTGTTTTCCTTGCAGTCCAGGGGACTCTCAAGAGTCTCCTCCAGCACCAAAATTCAAAAGCATCAATTCTTCAGCGGTCAGCCTTCTTTATGGTCCAGCTCTCACTTCCGTACATCGCTACTGGAAAAACCACAGCTTTGACTACGTAGACCTTTGTCGGCAAGGTGATGCCTCTGCTTTTTAAAAAGCTGTCGAGGTTTGTCATCACTTTCCTCCCAAAAAGCAGGTGTCTTTTAATTTCATGGCTGCTGGGCCTATTTGAACATATGGAAGACTGAAGAAGCTACTTGGATGAATAGTGAAACATTTCAACCTAATAAGCAAGAAGTCCAGTTGCCATGACTCAGCTTCCAGATAATCTCACTGGGATGACTGAGAATCTTCACAAACATATCTTTATTCAAAGAACCAAATTATCCCCTATCCCACCCAAAAATGGGATAGTGTAGAATCGTATTGTACTGCACAATACATGGGCACAATTCTCACAGTCAGGTAATAATAATGTTTTGTTTTTCTATAGCATTTTTTAATTTATTTTAAAGCCACCTCCTAGGGCAAATGATCTCCCAACTCCCAAGGAAAAGAAAAGCAATTACACATGACAAACTGTATACAGCAACTAAAACAAATGAACGCTTTTTTAAAAAAAATCAATACTGTACTGATTATTTACTGGAATTGTTCAAAGCCCATCATCTACATTGTTCCAGAGTAGCTCACCACAGTTATGTAAGCAAAGCTAACCCTTCTGATAGTTTGCTAACATAGGCAGAACAGCAAACAGTAGCCATACCAACTCAAGATGCATAAGACACCAGTTAAGCTAGTTTGATGAGGAAACTTGTCAGACATTTAGAAATTCTTCATTTCCTTGTGGGCTTGAATTTAACTTATTGCTATTAACTTTTTTTGTGTCATTTGTATTCCAGCAAGGTGAAACTCTGTCTTTTGTCTGGATTGCGTGGGGTCATCAAAACGGCTTCAGGCTTCTGTTAACAATAACCAAGAATAGAATCTGTAGAGTTCAGGCTTACACATATTTTCAGTGTGGTGTTGGAAGTGCCAAAGTGTAGGTCTGTGTAGGAAGATTTGCATCCCAGCCACCTTTGGTAGTCTTTAATGTCCAAGCATCCCATCCATTTGCTTTTATAATGGATGAATACAGTTACAACACAACTGTCCTATTATTTATTTATTTATTTATTGGATCTTACAATGTGCTATTATTCCTAGTAGTTCAAAATAAATGGTTGTTGTAGGTTTTTCAAGCTGTTTGGCCATGTTCTGGAGGTTTTTCTTCCTAATGTTTTGTCAGTCTCTGTGGCCGGCATCTTCAGAGGACAGGAGCTAGAACTCTGTCTGTGTTCAGGAGGTCTCCTGAAAAGAACAAAAACCTGATCTTACAACTACAAATACTCAACAATCTCACACACTACACCAAAACACAGACAGAGTTCTAGCTCCTGTCCTCTGAAGATGCCGGCCACAGAGACTGACAAAACATTAGGAAGAAAAACCTCCAGAACATGGCCAAACAGCTTGAAAAACCTACAACAACCATTTATTTTGAACTACTACTGTAGGAAGATGAGCTGTTGAGGAGTGGCTAAAGATAGGAGAGCTGCTTGGAACAGGGATCCTAGTATTAGATTAGATGTCAGGGGGAAATTATATTCTTCCTGACGGACTCATTTCTGCTCTCACTGAGATTTCTTCAAAAATAGGAGCCTCTGTGATCAGACTCGTAAGTTAAACCCATGTTTACATTCCAATAGCTAATCACAAAACAAAACATGCTAAACACAAGACATGGGGTGAAGAAAACTGCATGCTATGGCAAAGAGATGTTGTTAACCACTTGGGAGAGCACCTCTTCTGAAACAATGCTAAGTGTTTCTGGCCCTAGAGAAAGCCAGTGTGACAGAAGAAAAGTATCAGAGTATTCAGGGTACTATAAGAACAAGCCCGGTTCTGTCTGTATTTATAATTTTAATGCTTAATTAAAATGTTTGTTTCTTAACTTTTCTAAAACAAGAGAATCAGGAGGTGTAGCATGGAAATGTACCTGACATTAGACAAGCACAAACGTTAACACATCAATTCTTTCTTTTTATAGCTACTCCCTCATCACCCCCAGTGTCTTATGGCTAGAAAGCGAAGAGCAGGTTGTGGTGGAGGCTCATGGACTCAACGTTGCGACAGAGGTCACAGTCACTGTCCATGATTTCCCACAGAAGAGGAACAACTTGTACCAGATCAAAGCTTCCCTGACGGCAGAAAATGGCATGATAGCAACTCCATCCATAAAGGTGTGTGTGTTTGGTATGGTTATAAATGGTGCTGTCCTCAAAACTGTAGCTAGCAATTTTGAAGTGTGCCCCCAGATCAACTTTGTAACATTCAGTCATGTTATAGTAAAAATTCCACCAAAGTGCTCAAAAAAGCCAACTTTCCTGTTAAACAGAATGGGGAAAAAGAATCATCCCAGAGTGCAGGACATGCAACAATGGGCTCAAGTTAAAGGAAGCCATATTTTGGTTGAATATCAGGAAAAACTTCCTAACTGTTAGAGCAGTACAACAGTGGAACTAGTTACCTCAGGAGTTGGTGAGAGCTCCAACACTGGAGGCATTTGAAAAAAACATAGATAATCACCTGGCAGATACACTTTGATAGTACTGTATTCCTGCATTGAGCAGAGGGTTGGACTTGATGGCCTTGTAGGATCCTTCCAACTTCTCTTTTCTATAATTCTATAAAAAAGGCTTGTTGGATGCTCAAGCTTGATAGCTTTATACAGAGCTTGTGAATGTTACTACTTTAAAGTATAACTCCCAAATCTCCAGATAACTGGGGATTCTGGGCATTGTATTCCATCCAAATGTAGCATTTCCAATGGTGCTGTCCCAGATAACTGATGGAAGGCGAAGATTGTGTGAGAGACATAGTGGGCAGAATGACACTGTCTCACCTCAACTTTTGAAGAGCAAATCCTTGTTGGGTGCTTCATTGAGCTCCTTACCACCAGACCAGGGTGTAAAAAAAAGAAGAGTTACAGGATTATTTTTCTTGTTTTCCTCTTTGTGGGCCTCATGCTGCTGATGTTGGTAAACTCCCAACAAAATGCATGCTTCTTTCCCCCAACCCTATTGTCAGAGCAGACGAGAGACCTGCAAGCCACCCAGCACCTTCTCACTCTCCTGCCTTGTCCACTGTGCCCCCCATAGTGGGAGGAAGGGGGTGGTCTGAAAGTCAAGTGCTCTAATATGTGAAAGTTTTGCCACATAGTCTCTGTATTCTGCTCATAAATCTGAAGAAGTGGCTAATTTTCCACAAAAACTTACATTAAAACAGTGGTCTCCAAACTACGGCCCGCGGGCCACTTCCAGCCCACCTTGCCTTTTTATTGGGTCCTGGCATAGGAAGAGAAGGGAAAGGGAACCCAAGCGATCCCCCACCCCCACTGTCTTTGCAAGACAGTGAGGATCACTTGGGTCCCCCTTTCCTCCTCTTTCTATGCCCGATCGGGGATAGGAAGAGGAGCGAAGCCTGGATCGCTTGTGTCCCCCTTCCCTCCTTCGTCCGTCGAAAATGTGTGAAATATATGATGTGGCCCTCATTCTGAAAACTTTGAAGACCTCTGGTTTTGTTTTTTGTTTCTGTTCATGGGGTTTTCTTGGCAAAGATACTGGAGTGGCATTGCCAGTTCCTACTGCAGGTGGATTGCGTTTAGTCAGAACTCTCCACTATGATCTGTCCATCTTGAGTGGCCCTGCACGGCATAGCCCATAGCTTCTCTGAATTACTCAATCCCCTTTGCCATGACAAGGCAGCAATCTCTCATGAGAAGAGAAGACTCCTTGGAAAAGACCTTGATGTTAGGAAAGTGTGAAGGCACGAGGAGAAGAGGACGACAGAGGATGAGATGGTTGGAGAATGTCATCGAAGCTACCAGAATGAATTTGACACAACTCCAGGAGGCAGTGGAAGACAGGAGGGCCTGGCGTGCTCTGGTCAATGGGGTCACGAAGAGTCGGACACGACTAAACGACGATGACGGTTTTGTTTTGTATTTCTTGTTGAAATGCTTGCACAGGCTACAACACCAAGAACTGCTCTAACATTCACCCTTAGCAAATACCAATATACAATTTCTGTGGCATTATTAGCTATGCTAGTAGTGTCCAGGATAAATTATTTTTCTTGTTCCTGATCTTTTCACACAGGTTCCCGCAAAAGATCTCAAGAAGGATCCCAAGAAAAACACATATGTTGTTGTCAAGGCCAGCTGTGCTCAATTCAGTCTGGAGAAGGTGGTTCTCATCTCCTACCAGAGTGGATATATTTTCACCCAGACAGATAAAACTATCTATACTCCTGGATCACCAGGTAAGAGCCTCCTGTTGATTCCACCTGTAGGCATACATGGGAATAGGTAGGGCTTGAAAAATCCACTTATCCACTCATCTGTGACAAGTGAAAAAACGCTGCTTGACAAGCCACAGCTCCCTCCCTCCCTCTCTCCTTGCCTCCTTACCCTCATTCCGTCTCTCTCTCTCTCTCTCTCTCTCTGATCCTGTAGTCCTGTAGTCTTTCTCTCCCTCTTCCCATTGCAAAAGGAAAAACAACCCTCTTCTCGCAAGAATAAAGTTCCAGCGGCACATAGATATATAGCTCTGCAGGAGAATGTAGAGTAATCCCATGCTGGAGAATATGGAGGTTCCCTGCTCCCAATTTCAACCCAACGACCAGGCTCCTGAAGAGGCTGGGTGCTTTTGCTTTCAGTTTTATTTTTGCTGGAGACATTCAAAAGAAAGGCATTCAAAATACAAGCTTCATGACCCCACAGGCACGCAGGTAATAAAGCAACCCAAGTCTGAGGATATATTTATTTTGGGTTTGTACGTATTGTTACGTAGAAAGTGCCTAGTTTAAATTTAAGTTTAAACATAAATTGCAAGGCTATAGTCCGGTCATGCTGACTGGTGAAATTTTTGACTGACTGGTGAGACACTCTAAAATTTTTCAAGCCCTGGGAATGAGTAACCTCTGTCAGAATTGTGTTGATTTCTCTGATGGATCTTTCCTGATACAAAGTACCTGACTTGCAGTTGGAATTAGATTACCTAAATAAATAAATAAATAAAAATTCATAGACAGCTGAAGTTGGTTTCAAAGGATGTTCCAGTATAGAGTCTAAGAGGTAAACCAGCCTTTCTCTTTTCTGCCTCTATCCAAGTTCAGGGCAGTTTCCTTCATGAACAGCTATAAGGTCACTTTTTCAATGTACACTGATGGGCTCAGAAATGCCATTAAGAATAAATCAATGAAAAGAGCAAGGTTCTTTGGGTAGAAGGGTTTCATTGGGAGGAAAAGGAAAAAGGATATTTAGAAGGAACTCTTGCATAGGGAAAATATATCCCATCAGGCAGAGGATATACCTGTGCATCAGTATACATATGGTGGCTCTTAATGGCAGGAAATTTGGTAAAAATAGAAAGTGAGAAGGTTTTCTAACAGGTTTGTTGACATGATAATGTGTCAGCCTGATGCAAAATGATTACAGTGGTGCCTCGCTAGACGATGATAATCCGTTCCACTGAAATCACTGTTTAGCGAAATCATTGTTTAGCGAAAAGTATTTCCCCATTGGAATGCACTGAAACCTGTTTAATGCATTCCAACGGGGAAGAATCGTTGTTGTTTAGTGAAGATCGGCCATAGGAAAGCCACTTTGCAAACCACCGATCAGCTGTTTAAATCACTGTCTTGTGAAGCTTAGGTCCCAAAAACACCTGTTTTGCGAGCGTGGAGGGAGCTGTCAAAATCGTCATCTAGCGAAAATTGGTTTGCGAAGCAGGGACCAAACATTGTGCAGCAAAATTCCCCCATAGGAATCACTGTTTTGCGAATCATTATAACGATCGCAAAAAGTCAATATCTAGTGAAAAAACTGTCATGCGGGGTAACTGTCTAGTGAGGTACCACTGTACTTGGATAGACACTGATCATTGGACAGAGAGACTTAGAGACAATGTGGGAAAAGATTCACTGGTCATGGTTGGCATTGGCATCAGTGACATTGGGAAATAATGCCATCAAGTCCTAGAACTCAAATTTAGGTTGTTACCTAGAATGCACTAAGTGTTCAAGCATAAGAGTTTAATTTCTGAAGCAAAAAGTAGGAAAAAATGGATTGCTTAAAAGAAAGTTCAAATAGAGAGTCAATAGGGTCAAATCTCTCTAGTATGCTTAGCAAATATTCTTTCATTTATTTCCATTTCTATACTGTCCCATTAATGTTGCCACTCTCTGAGTTGTTCACAATATAGAGTAAAACCATAAAAATATTATGTAATAATAGTAAAATACAATAAAATGCAATAAACTAGCTAAAATTACTTTTAAATAAAAAAAACACAAATTAATGCCCATTGTAAAATGAAATAACTGCTGTGCTGCTGGAATGTTTATCACAGATTAGGAAGGGAAAAATTAAGTCCAAGAGGATGCTGTGGCCAGTGAGTAAAGTCAAGGTAGTTATAAAATTCAAGGAAGGTGGTTTGTGGGTTATTTTGTTGGGAGAGTTGAATTCTTTGTCTACCATTTTGTGTTTCCAAGTGGGCAAGTCCCACTGGTTGGTTCTTTAAGAGTTTTGAGGGCAGTATAGGCAGGGCACATCCAGTGAATACAGTCATGCCTCACTTTACGATTGCACCATAGAACAACAAATCCACTTAACGATGCCTTTTTTGTGATTGCAAAAGCGATTGCAGAACAATGCTTCCTATGGTCAAAATCCGCTGTGCGATGATCATTTCCTTGCTTCGGGAACTGATTTTCGCATTATGATGATCAGCGAACAGCTGATCGTCAGGTTCCAAAATGGCCACCGGCTGAAGAAAACGGCCCCCGGCTGTTTTCTAGGATGGATTTCTCGCTAGACAGGCACCGAAAATGGCTGCTGTATGGAGGATCTTCACTAGACGGTGAGTTTTTAGCCCATTGGAATGCATTGATCGGGTTTTAATGCGTTTCAATGGATTTTTTATTTTCACTTTACGATGTTTTTGCTCTACAGCGATTTCGCTGGAACAAACTGACATTGTTAAGCGAGGCACCACTGTAGATAAAAGAGGCAAGAGTAATCTAAAAACAGAGTCAAGGTATAGTTACATTGACAAATAATACGAGAAATGCTCTGGGATTGGGATGGTTTTATTTGCAGCATGTTCCATTGACTAAACAATGTAAAAGTTAATGTAATTCAGCCAGGAATTTTTCCCATCCCACTCCAATCTGTAATTTTTCCCTCCACCACTGGGGTTTCTAACTTTTTTGAATGGAATACTGTACATTTGGTTCAAGAAGTATGATTGCTTGAGCTGATATTGGAGGTGTTTGTAGCTGTTGTACTCCATCTGCTGACAGCAGCAGTGAGAGAGACAGGGCATCAGGGAAACTGTTTGCCTTAAATCTTCTCCTCTCCGAACTTGGTACCTGGCTCTGCTTTCGTCTTCCCTTTCCCTTTCCCTTTCCCTTTCCCTTTCCCTTTCCCTTTCCCTTTCCCTTTCCCTTTCCCTTTCCCTTTCCCTTTCCCTTTCCCTTTCCCTTTCCCTTTCCCTTTCCCTTTCCCTTTCCCTTTCCCTTTCCCTTTCCCTTTCCCTTTCCCTTTCCCTTTCCCTTTCCCTTTCCCTTTCCCTTTCCCTTTCCCTTTCCCTTTCCCTTTCCCTTTCCCTTTCCCTTTCCCTTTCCCTTTCCCTTTCCCTTTCCCTTTCCCTTTCCCTTTCCCTTTCCCTTTCCCTTTCCCTTTCCCTTTCCCTTTCCCTTTCCCTTTCCCTTTCCCTTTCCCTTTCCCTTTCCCTTTCCCTTTCCCTTTCCCTTTCCCTTTCCCTTTCCCTTTCCCTTTCCCTTTCCCTTTCCCTTTCCCTTTCCCTTTCCCTTTCCCTTTCCCTTTCCCTTTCCCTTTCCCTTTCCCTTTCCCTTTCCCTTTCCCTTTCCCTTTCCCTTTCCCTTTCCCTTTCCCTTTCCCTTTCCCTTTCCCTTTCCCTTTCCCTTTCCCTTTCCCTTTCCCTTTCCCTTTCCCTTTCCCTTTCCCTTTCCCTTTCCCTTTCCCTTTCCCTTTCCCTTTCCCTTTCCCTTTCCCTTTCCCTTTCCCTTTCCCTTTCCCTTTCCCTTTCCCTTTCCCTTTCCCTTTCCCTTTCCCTTTCCCTTTCCCTTTCCCTTTCCCTTTCCCTTTCCCTTTCCCTTTCCCTTTCCCTTTCCCTTTCCCTTT